CTGATGTTCACAGAATCATTCAATGAGATCATAACATCTTTGAGTGATCCTACTGGAGTAATCTTCCTGCCATCTGCTAGAGTAACATGAACATTCTTCATGTTATGGGCTACTTCACATCCAGCCCTTTCCATAGCAGTAGCAAGTTCCACACCTACAATGCACGTATCAGCACCACTATCAATAAGAGCTCTTCCCCACAGTGCGATCAGAAGATTGGTCGTAACATCTCTGAAGGTGAGCTTAACATCCATGTAGAATAGTCCATGAGGGTGAGAATCGATTACCATAGCTGATGTAGTCGTAATTTCTTCTCCACCCAAAGAGGAGGGCTTTACTTGTTGAGAGTCCAGGCCACCACCACCCTTCTGGCTCTCCTTCAGCTTCTTATACAACACATCACGTTGTTGCTTGGTCATAGGGTTCAAAGCTAGAGTAGGACAACACCTTGCAAAATGACCATGTTGCTGACATCGAGTACAAGTTATGGCCGCAGAATCTCTTGACTCACATTTATCTCTATCAGAAGAACTCTCATGATGAAGCCCACACTTAGGGCACCTGAGCCCCTCCTTAACACCTAAAGGTGTTTTACTCGGGCAATTGTAAGTGTAGTGGTCTTGAGCTAAACATCGTTGACAGCGGTAATGTAACAAATTACTTTTAGTAAAGTCTGCACTCACATAGCTTCTTCCATCTACTGAATGTTGAAGACTCTTCCGAGGTATCGGTGACGATGATGAGGTACTCATGGTGGCAGCCGCTACAACCAAATTAGGGTCAGCATTAGAGCGAGCTTGATCCTTCTTATATAAATGCCTACATATCCACCTAGCTCGACGCTTGAGCTGCTTGATTGACCATGATTCGATCTCTTCAGCATCGTAATCCTTCTCGATACGACCTCTTATCCGCGGATCCAATCCGTGAATGAAGTAACCAGTTACTATCTCGCCGTCGTTAAGCAAGTCTGTCAGAGCATCGAACTTGTCACAGTAAGCCTCAAACCTCTCTAAGATTGAACCTTTACCAGGTGTCATTCTCAACGACATAAGCTTAATTCTTACGTTGAAATAATCATCACTGGTACTGTAGGTTTCATAGAGTAGATCCCACACACGCTGAAGCAAGTTGCTGAAGGTAGGAACATGCTTCAAGCGTTTAACTGAGTGGTCTATTATATGTTGGACCGGTTCCGTTAGAGAGCGGTACAAATAACAATATCTTTCCGCATCGCTCGCAAAGATGTAGGCTTGACTAGAGGTAAGGGCAGAATAAAATTCTCGGATACCTCTAGTGTCAGTTTCCCCACTAAACTTTGTCACGGGCGAAAAGTTTTTGCTATTCTTCCAAGCTTTACTCAGGGTCCCGGTCCCACCTCTTAGTAAGTCCATTCTCACATCTTGAAGTGGTTGTTCCTTACCAGAGACATCTGCCGCAGAACCAGAAGACCTCATTGGCCTATAACGCTCCATTCTATTCGGCTTAGGAGTGGAATGAGGTAAACCCACCGCATCCTCTCCGTCATAAGAGAGAGTATCAGAATCGTCTTCATCACTCTGTCTACGCGAGAGTCTTCTAGCTTCAGGCTTCGCGTGCTCCCGTATCTGATTATTCAGAATACACGGTCTGTCTGGGGCTAGGGGGTCTCCTGTAGATCGAGGAAGATTTTGAGACGAAACTTGTGGCACAACCGATTTACTAGCAAGCACCGAACTAATAGCATTAGTAACCGCAGAACTTACTGCAGTAGCAATAGCTTGGACCAAAGACTCGCTGCCCTCTTGACTACCTAAATCAACCAATTTAGGAGCACCCGTCAAGTTGGGCAGTGATCTAGAACTTGGACTCCGAAGAAGCCGTTGATGACCTTCAACACCTTCCTCATAACTTCCCTTTCTACCCTTAGCTTGCTTCGGCAGGGTATAGGGATAGGGATAGAGTTGCTGGTTACTGCTACTAGAACCTCCATTATTGGCACCAGTAACCTCTGAAAGTGGAGCATGAACACTTCCTCTCTCAGCCTCAAATCGCTCCTCTTCCCTACCATCAGTCTCAGTAACAATGCCGTTATCAGAGTTAGTAGGAAGAGGTGGAGGAAGCCCCACTGATGAAACCGGTGATTGATCTTGTGGTAAATGTTGTTGACTCCCGTCTTGTGGTTGGCCATCATTACCATTAGGATCGTTACGACGAAAACGACCTAATTCATCTCGATCACGGGCAATCGCCATAAGTTAGTACAGATCCCGGTAGAATGTCCCGAAAGTTTAAATGATTAGGGATTAACGCAAAGTACAAGACTTTGTGGAAGCTTATTTAACAGAATAAATGAATGTATAAAGGCCCCTAGCGCTAAGATTCGCTTAGGGCTAATCTATGTCATTTGTGTCTAAACAAGGGACGAAAAGACACAATGCACAACAACTCCTTTTGCATGAAAATGGATGACAATCATCATAGTCATCATAGCCGTAGCCAGTAGGTGGGAATACATTGAAGCCGACAGATTCCTATTGGACGATAGAGTGATCAGCAGTTCGGATTTCAGTCATAGCTCAGCAGAGAGGTTGTAGCTTATGAGTATTGCTGAGGCAATCACTACGTGAAGGGTTCCAAAGAGAAAACAGAAATGTCCCTCCCCCATCGTCGGCCTCGTGAACATGTTCAACAGGAGAATGCTCGAAGTATCAGCATATGCTCTTTAGGAGCCGAACATTGCAATACTACAAAAATGAGGCACATAACCCTCAAACTCGAAAACTTCTACTAAACAATGTCTAAAACCCTATCATTGTCCTGCTCTGCGTTCAACACGTGATCCACGTTGTTGACTAAGCGTTGCTCAGTAAGCAACAGTGTTGGAATAGACTATGTTGGCTTTCCCCAACTAAGCACAGGAGTTTCCTCGCTTATCGTATGGGTTCATATACGAAGGTGGGCAGCCCCCATATTCCATTTTGTCACCGACTCATGTAGACCACATGCCT